CTCTAGTTTACGCTTTAAATTCATTTTAATAATATCCAAAAAGATCCTTTGTACAGACGAGAAATCTGTTATAACTTCTTCCCATTTATTTTTTTTTTGCAATTTGTTAATTTTTTTTACTATATTTACGGATTTTAATCTTCTTTTTATATAACAATCTTTTTAGTTGTCTTAATTTTTTTCTGTATACTTGATTGGAAAGTGATGATTGTACATTGACTTGCTTGCACTTTGGCATTGGCATTACAACAGGATGATGAACATCTATATCTTCTGAAATAGTAGTACTAGCTGTATCTTGTTCAGTTACTATTGATGGTAATTGCGAAGTTAAATTATGCTGAACATCTATATCTTCTAAATTCGAAATAGTAGTACTAGCTGTAGTTTGTTCATTTACTATGGATGGTAAATGTAAAGTTGGAAATGCCCAATCTTCCAAATTTCGCCGTGCTGCATAGTATATATATGTATATATTATATATAATATAAAAATATGAGTATGTATATTAATACTATTTAAGATTTGTAATTATATTGTTTTGATTTACATATTCATGTTTATTACTATCCTTTTTCTAGTCACTACCATATATAAGAAAAAGGGAAGCAATAGATATAAATACCAATGCATATAAAGCCAGTATCCAAAATTACCAAAAATTACAAATCTTGGACAGTAAACATAATGGTTGCGTTCAGCAGAAAAAGCAGCTTTGCAACTGTTGTAAAATTCTTCAATATATTATGACTGATCCTATGCTTAGTTCATCACTAGATCTAAATGTATAAACCAATTTAACAATTTTACAACAGTTGCAAGGTTGCTTTTTCTGCTGAATATAACTAAATATTAAAAATATTCTGTACAATTATATTCTTGTAAAATGTTTTGATGCATTTATATACATATTAATAATTATAAATACTTTTATGAGAATATTTATAAATATTTAGAAATACACACATTCAACTTTTTATTAAACTTACTAATTAAATCAGTTCGTTTAATTGCTTCTAACCAAATTTTTGTTTTTTGTAAATTTTTGGGAAATCTATGCGACGGAATAGATTTTATATGAGATTAACACTGGGGCACACAGCATATCCGTACCATCTTGACCTTTACTTAATAAAAATTGTAACAACTAATTTCATATTTAAGATCTTATAAACTATTAAATTTTTTATTTTAAATAAATTTAAAAGTATAAATAAATAGAAATAGTAGATGAAAGTAATACAAGGTATGAATACAAAGAAAAAGAATATGAGAGAGAGAGAGAGAGAGAGAGAGAGAGAGAGAGAGAGAGAGAGAGAGAGAGAGAGAGAGAATAAAATACAAAGAATATATAAAAATAACATTCTTTCGTTTCATGCAGAAACGTGTCAAATAAGCCTAATTTCATCGATTTTTGATCCGCGAGGCAGCTATTCTGTATAATTACCATAATATATACAGAAAAAGATAAAAAAATAAATTGTAAGTAAATACAAGAAAAACTTACCGCTCTAATATCTCTAAGTGCTTCACAAACCTTGTACCCACAACGATTCACAACAATTCACAACAATTCACAACAATTCACAACGATTACGTGAGAAATTCTAGATGATTTTAGATGATCGAGAAGCAAATTACACTTCGTAAGCGTTCATTGATGTTCGTAAACATTCGTCGACAACGGCCGACAACAACCCATAGTGGGGAGAACACGGTGCTGCCGCCTGGCTCTGTGGCACCAAAATTGGAACTACACCAACTTCTGTCGCCCCCAAATATACGGAGTTTGTCCCCCCTGATCTTATTGAAGCGATACGCGAGATCCGATCAATGGTACGAATCGATGAAGAATGCTGGCGTCGGGAAGGAAGACGACGCGCAGGACGATTACGCGATTCGGCGCAGACGGCGCGTCGCACTATTTTTCTTTCGCGACCAACAATAATCGCGCTATGGTAATGTAATGCCCGCGAAACGAGTAAGGAGGGGGCTGCATAATATCGAACACGCCGCCCGCCTTGAAAGGATCATCTTTCAAAGTTTTTGAAATCAACTGTAACTAAGAATAGGGTATACGCATGTTTTTTTTTTTTAATCGGTAGTTTATATATCACTTATATAATAAAATTTTTGTCTTAAGCCCATGCAATTAAAATTGAAATTAATAAAAGCGATTAAAAATAGTAGATTTTAAAACGACGCGACGGAAACCGCCGAGTTCACCCGACTGAACGCGTGACGTCAGAAGTTAGTTTGCCTCTGACTGATAGCGTGCGTCTGCTATTATTTATCGTTATTTTTGCAAATTATTAAAGATTTATTTAAAACAGCGATGACAATGGACCCCAAAAAATTAAAACGCAAAGCTTACCGATGGTGTTTTGTACCACAATGTACCAACATATCTAAAAGCACGCCTCAAAAAGTTTTCGTTCATGTGCCCGAAAACGAAGAGAGAAGAAAAAAATGGTTTCAACTGGCACGTCGTAGTGATGAACCAACGAAATCTAAATATTTCTGCTGTGAAGATCATTTTAATGTGAGTATAATGTACTTTGATATATACATGCGGTACGTATAAGATTAATACAAAACATAACCTCAAACTTTCAATGATTTTACATATTGCAGTTAGAAGAGGATGCAGAAAATTACATGAGATTTTCAATGATTGGAGGTATTCTAAAATTAAAATCTGATGTTTTACCTCGTTTCTTTTATTGCCATAAGGATAGAAAACGAGCTGCGAGAGAAACTCCTCGTACTTCATACGTACGTATTAAACGCAAGAAGGTAATGGCAGAAATGTTGGAAAATAATGATTTCCTTACGGCAAACAAAGAAAATGATAATCGGAATAGTGAGCCTGTAGTAGAAAATGAATATCAAGAACGCAATGATATGTTACTGCAAGCAACTGCAAAGTCATCAATGTCATCTTTCGATTTGGAGTCAACGCTGCCGAGTCTTGGTTTGGAGTCTTTTGCAACTATTGCACCTATTGTTAGTGATCAATTAATCATTAATGATAATAAAAAAGTTCCACGTAACCATAAATCTACGCAAGTGACAATTGTGCCTCATTTTCGAAGTATCGGGTCACAAGCGCAACCAACTACTCGTGATGCAATTTGCAGTACAAGTGCAGAAACAAGTAATACAGCAACATCACCAATACGATTGGCAGTTCGCAAATTACTAAAACAGTGCAGTGATACAAGCTCGGTATCCACAATGCTGTCACAAATAATGAGTCACAGTGAATATGAGGCAACAACTGACGAAGATGTACAAATGACAGAAGATCATAAACAGACTGCCTTGAAAACGACAAATTATTTTGTCAAAATGAAAACAAAAATGTACATCGGCATTCCAAATGAATGGCAGTGGGTTATAGGTGTGTTAGAAAAACACTCCGGGATCAACAGTGATAACATCAACTTAACACTTATGAAGATTAAACTTGATGACACCTTCGATCGTTTAGGAGATCAATTTAACAAATCTGGTTCACATTGCAGTAGAATATTCAAATCAACAGTACCGATATTGGCTCAGTGTTTGAAAGGTTTAACATACTTTCCAAGTGAGGAAAGTCAAAAAAGAGCAATGCCAATTGCCTTTCGTGCTAATTATAGTAACGTTCAATCTATCATTGACTGTTTCGAAATTGAAATTCAAAAACCTTCAGATGCAGTTCATCAGGCATTAACATGGTCTGAATACAAAAAGTGCAATACAATAAAATATTTAATTTCGGCGACATATGATGGAATGATTAATTACATCAGCTGCGGATACAGAGGACGAGTGAGTGACACAGTGCTATTCGAGGATTGTGGCATTATGGACAAATTGCCTGAAGGATGCAATGTAATGGCAGACCGAGGATTTAAACAAATACAAAGTGTTTTAAATAGAAAGAATTGTAATCTTATCCGGCCACCATCAGTTTCTGCATCTACAAAGCCTTCAAAGGAGGAAGTTCTTTTGACAAAAAGTATCGCAAGCCTTCGTATCCATATTGAAAGAGTGATACGAAGATTGAGAGAATTTAAATTACTTGTGCCGCATTCATGTCTTAACCACAACATTATGCCACATATCGATGATGTGGTCATTATTGCTGCAGCTGTAATAAATCTTCAATTACCAATCATAAGGACATAAGTGACGACTGTTTTATATTTGTGATTCGACACGATAAGATATATGTACAATTTTACATTTGTAATGAAAATATTACGAAAAGAAAAAATTCAGAACCTTGTATTCGTTCATAACTATTATTAATTGATGCTATTAAAGTTATTAGTAATTAATATTAACAGTAGTAGTAAGTAATGACAGTTATAAGTAAACACAATATTCATATTTTTTTCTTTTCATAATATTTGTCACCTAAAAATGAAAATGTAACAATTATATACAGGACATTAAAATATTGGACTACATTGTACTTGTTATCAAAAATATATTATATTTTACACTTTACATCAGCATTACACGTACATTGCCATTAATTATTTTTTCTTACAGCATTTAATATTTGTGGAAAAATGTTTTCCTTCCAAAATTTGTCAGCTTTAGTTATGAGTTCATTCGTAAACTCTTCGTCGAAATCAACAGTGATTATTTTCACTTGTTTCGTCCTCTCAAAATCAGCATGTGCAACACAAAACAAGCCTTTCTTTCTATTTGCTGCAAACATCTGAAGATTCATTTGGGCCTTACATTTACTATTTATGCTTCCTTTTGGAAGGAATTTTTCAAAACCCTTCTCAGAGTTTGGACATTTCACTTCGACAATATATTCCTGTGATATTGCATCCGGTGAGGCTCCAAGTGTAGGGTGTTCCGGTGTTAACATCAAACCACATTTTGTCAACTACAGTCCTGTTGACTTTCTTACTTCATGGATCACCTGCTCTTCTAGATTTATACCTCGCTGCATCGCTTCTGTATGAAAGACCTTTGCTACGCCGATGACTTGTTAGACGTAAGAACCATTCGATGTTTGACAATGGGCAGCTTCATAAATCTTTGACGCTGTGATCCTACCGTACCTCAGTTCATACCATAAACTGCAGTTACTTTGGTCTCTTGTTGCCTTTTCAACTTCACAGCAGTACTCTATTGGCATTTCCGTTTTTGCTAATTGCAGAAAATCCTCAGCTGAGTTGCCTCTTGTTTTGCAGGAATCTATCAGTAGTTGGTGGATCGACAGCATGAACAGTTTTCTGCTTTTTAATATAAAATTATGCCTGGATCCAACTGCTTTTCTTCAGCTATTTTTAGCACATCCTTCAAAAAAAGTTCATTTTTGATGTTTGCTAATTTTTTTGGATTCTGCTTTTTCGCAATAAGGTGTTTTGTTTTTATATATTTCTCTGAAGTTCCTACTTTGGAAAGCCGAGGTTTTCGCCAATAACATGACACTTCTGTAGGTGATGGATTTTCAGTCCGACGATGAATCCACATTAAAAATGCAACCGCATGCTTACATCCTCCTGTAAAATAATAATGCATACTTCAGTACAGAATAAAATATGCATGAATAAATATTACTGATCATTTAAAGCATTTTTTCATTTTGACATCTCTTATAAACATAACCTCATCTCGCCATATGTTAATCTTGGCGATGAGAAAAACTGAATTACAGATGTCAGGAATAATTTCTTTATTAAACTTTACTTATCGGTATAGTTTGTATTGATATTCATGAAATAACTATTTTAAGTAAACTCCCAGCAAACAAAAAACAATTGCGAGGAATTAAAATTTCAATTCCAATCAATTTTTTTTAATTCCATTATTGAACACTTCGGAATATAGAGGAATTAAAATAGTCCTACGGTGGATGTTGCGGGATTGAAAGTAACCTCTTTCTGTTTCGGAGGATCCAAAGGAATTAAAATTTGTTCTAGTCAATCTCGATATAGGAATACAAACTACGACCATAACCTGCTTATAAATTTCCAATTCCAGATTGTCGCTTAATGGGATTCGAGACATATGCTCGTTAATTCTTTTCGATTCCTCTTAATTTCTCGCAATTCCTTTCTGTTTAAAATACAGTTACGGTAATTCAGTTTTGCACAACATTGAAAGCAGTGGTAAGTTCTCACTGAGGACATTTGCCGTTAACCAGTCGAAAAGAAATCAAACTCACCACTCGATGCAGCACATTCATGGCACTCAATGCTTTGCACAGACTCATCTTCTTCATTTACAATGATTGTAACACTATATAATTTCTGTCGGACCTTATGTTCAGGACAGATATCCGCTTTTATTATGCACTGATTGTTGTTCCTTATGAGCCGAACATACCCTACTGCGTTGTCTCCATAGGTTTCGCGTGAAGATCTATAAATAAATTATGCTATGATCATGTACTTGTTTCAGCTTTATTCATAAATATACATATATCATAATTAATGAACTCACTGTGCGTTTTTAGAACCTCTGACTTCGGCAGCATTGAATCTGTCATCTTGTTTGATGTATTCGCAAACCATAAACATATCAATTTTTGGTAAATTGTTGCTGTCAGCCTTCACATATCCAGACTCGATTGTTTTCACCATTGTTATTTCTATTTTACTTGCTTACAAATTATATTAAATATGCAAACGGCGTATTCTCGTATCTGTTTACATGTTAACTTCCGAAAGCTACATAACTTTTGACGTCACGCCGCAAGCGACCAATCACCTCGCGTTTTTAGTCACATGATCAAATTCAAATATTTCACTGTTTACAATTATTAATTACATAATGTTTAAGTTGTTTTAAAAAAAGTAAACACTGTTAATAACGTTTCTAAGTACATAAACTTTATTAAAAAAAATTTTAAATGCGGTATTGTAATTTACGCATATACCCTATTGAACAGGTGTAGATAAAATCGCTGATTATGCTTATAGAAGATCGCGCTCAACTTGACAAATTAAACAAAAAGTGCAATCGTAGTTAGACATGACGTACATTGAATCATGAATATAATGATAACGCTCTTATAACTAACGAGTATCTAAGCTTAACGATTAAATTACAAAAGAAAACTTATGAACTACGTTTCAAGCGGTAGAATCGCCAGCTTAGCTAAAGGTCTCGCGAGTAGACCCTTGGCAGTCTGAACGGTTGCCGTTCGGGCCACGCCGTCAGCTCCCGGATGTACTTCCTGTACGCGCCCCAGGGTCCATTGTAATGGCGCTAGGTTCGACTGTCTTGTGAGGACGAGCTGATCAGGCAGCAGCTGAGTGCCCTTGTTGGTTTTCCATTTAGAACGTTCTTGCAACGATTGCAAGTACTCGGTACTCCATCGGCGCCAGAAGTGCTGCCGAATCTGCTCAATCCGCTGCCACCTGAGTAAGCGATTTTCCGGAATGTCATCTAGATCTCTGGAAGGAAAGCTGTTTAGTGCAGTGCCAACCAGGAAGTTTCCCGGTGTCAGGTGTGACATATCATTTGGATCTGAGCTTAATGCTGTAATAGGCCGAGAGTTGAGAATTGCCTCTATTTCGCACAAGACTGTTTGAAACTCCTCAAAAGCTAGGTGAGGCCTGCCAACGATCCGAGTCATGTGCAGTTTCGCGAATTTAACCGCTGCCTCCCACAAACCGCCGAAGTGGGGAGCGTTTGGCGGGATGAAACTCCAGGATGTTTGTTGATCATTGAAAAATTGATTTATTTGATCCTGAGTTTGCGATTGATTATAGAATTCGTATAGCTCGCGCAGATGCCTATGGGCACCCACGAATGTGGTTCCGTTATCGGAAAACATGTGAGTCGGTTTGCCCCTCCGCGAAATGAAGTGCTTGAATGCGCCCAAAAAGGCGTCGGTGGTGAGATCACTCACGAGTTCTATGTGTACAGCTCTTGTGACAAGGCATACAAAAACGGCAATGTAAGCCTTGTGATTTTTGGCGTTGCGCCTTTTTCCTTCTCTTATAATAACCGGACCGGCGTAGTCGACTACGCAACGCGAGAAAGGCCGAGATACTGTGACGCGGCTAGCAGGAAGAGGGGCCATCACAGCTTCCGAATGACGCGGGTTTGACTTGAAGCAAGTAATACACTTTCGTATAATCTTCCGTGTGCTTGAACGCAAAGACAACGGCCAAAACGTTTGTCGTATGGCGGCCATGGTTGCCTGCGAACCCGCGTGCATGTTCCGAACGTGTTCACGTTCTATTACAAGTCGAGTTAGGTCATGGTTGCGAGGAAGTACCATGGGATGACAAGAGTCAAATTGGACTTGAGAGTTCCTCAGTCTGCCTCCCACTCTAATCAGACCATCCTTGTCGATGAAAGACGAGAGAGACAACAGTTTACTCGAATTAGAGACGACTTCCCCTTTGCGTAAAGCCTGCTGTTCACAGGGAAACTCCTGTCCTTGCACGTCCCTGCAAATGACCTTCAATGCATATGCGATCTCATCAGGAGACACGAATCTGGTTGAAGCTGTAGAGTGCCGAGTCTTAGAAAATCGTAGGCAGTAGGCTACAATTCGACATATTTTGTTTAGACTAGAAAACTTGCTCAGAAGTTCGCATATGATAGAATGGCTCACCTTAGCGGTAGCGGTTGATACTACCCTCTTTTGTTCAGGAATGTCCTCTCCTAGTTGCACGAAGGCGCCGTCGGGCCAAGCATCGTCACTCAATTGTAAAAACGGGGGCCCGTGCCACCACATGTTCGAATTGGCTAAATCACGAGGACCTAAGCCATGTGAGAGAATGTCGGCAGGATTATTGGACGAGCTGACATGACGCCACTGCTTAATTTCAGTGAGACGCTGTATTTCGCCAACTCGGTTAGCCACAAAGACGGACCATCTTCGAGATGAGGAGGCTATCCAGTTTAAGCTGATTGTCGAATCTGACCAAAGAAATTTCGAAACGTGTGGGGCGCCCAATGACTCGTTGACTTTATCAATTAGGCGTGCTAATAGCAATGCTACTGACAACTCGAGCCTCGGCAATGAAGTGGCCTTGAGTGGAGCCACCCGGGACTTCGAGCAGAGCAGCTCGGAGTGATATTCATCCGGACCCATCTGGGTGCGAATATATACACAGGCCCCGTATGCGCTTTGACTAGCATCGCATAATCCGTGTATTTGAACAAAGAGCGAGTCGGACTTGGACCCTACCCCACGTGGAACTCGCAGTTGATCCAACTCAAATAGCTGGGATCTGAACTTCAGCCACCGCGTATGAATGTGCTGTGGAACTGACTCGTCCCAGTTGACACCGGACTGCCAGAGCTCCTGTAAAATGAGTTTAGCAATGACGATTATGGGGCCCAATAGGCCTAGCGGGTTGAAACATCTAGATGTCTCGGATAGTATCAAGCGTTTGGTAGCGGCGTTGCCGGCGGGATCAAGCTCGCAGGAGAAGTGAAATGTGTCCTGCGATTGGTTCCACCTGACGCCCAAAATTGACGTGTGGTCATTGTTCAAAGTGATTAATTCATCCCCACATTCGCGTAGAGATTCTAGCAATTTAGGGCAATTAGATGCCCATTTACTAAGTTCGAATAATCCTATCCGCAAGAGTTGTATTACCTCGTCGCAAATAGATTCGAGTTCGCGTTCAGAATTGGCTCCCGTAAGTAGGTCATCAACGTAAAAGTCACGTTTAACGCAGATGGAACCGAGGGGGAATTCGGACGCATATTGCTGTGCCAAAAGAGTGAGGCATCGTGTTGCTAAGAACGAGGCTGCGGAAGTACCGTAGGTTACGGTTAATAGCTCATAAGTCATGACCTCATCCTCGGGGTTGGCTCTCCACAAAATTCTTTGCAAACTTGTTTGCGAGGGATGCAAACGTATCTGTCGGTACATCTTGACAATATCCGCAGATATGGCGTACCGAAAATAGCGAAAGCGCATCAATATTGATGCAAGATCTTGCTGAACTACCGGACCTACACCTAGAATATCGTTTATAGACACTCCAGAATCGGATTTGCATGAAGCGTCGAACACGACAAGGAGCTTGGAGGACTCGGCTGTGGTTTTATGTACACCATGGTGAGGTAAGTAGAACGCTGTCGCGTTTTCATCGGAAAATGGAGGTAACATGCACATGTGCTTCAACGCCAAATATTCGCGCAAGAATTGACTGTATTGATTTTTTAAAACTGGATCGCGCGAAAGATGTCTTTCCAATGCCTTGAGCCTCTTGAAGGCGATTTCTCGAGAATCCCCTAATTTGGGAAGGAGATGTTCCTTGATAGGAAGCTTCACCACATACCGACCCTGCGGATCCCGCGAAACGTTGCTGACGAAATGTTGCTCGCAGAATCTTTCTTCTGGAGAGTAAGCACTCGGAGCGGCGAAGTTATCATCCAGTTACCAAAGACGATCAATTTGATCGTGTAATTGCTGGTTAGTTATCATCGCGTGGCAAGCCTGGACTCGCGAAGGCGAAGCTGGACCGTTGAGTCGGCCAGCTAAGATCCACCCTAATCTGATTTTTTGCAACAGCGGATGGGTTGAAGAACCGCGTATCTGCCCGACGCACAATAACTCCCAGAATAGCTCGACGCCCAATAGCACGTCTATTTGAGAGGACACGTTGAAGTTCGGTTCGGCAAGCGTTATGTTGCGCGGGAGCTTGAAAGCACTCCACTTGAATGAAGTGGTCGGAAGCCGCTCGGTCACTTGATTCGACACGATGCATTCCGTCACGGCTGTGTACGGGCTTATGCGAGACTGTAATCGTATCTTCACCGCTTGAGAAGATGTAGTCGCGGAGCCATTCACGCCGGAAATAGTGATATTTAGAGGCCGCGAGTTTAGGCCTAATGTTTCTAGATATTGCCTGGAAACGAAATTGGCTTGCGAACCGCAGTCCAGTAGCACGCGGCACGGTCGAGGATTCCCCTGAGTCGAATGCAAACACAACGGCCGTTGATAGGATGACATCACTATCGCCGGTAGGGTGCGAGACGTGAGTGGACATAACTTGGGTAGGATTGGGGGGTTTAGAATTCTCGGCCATGTCACCATTTTGTTCTGGCGCCGGGGCAGCGCCCGTCGCGGAATGCAGGAGGGTGTTGTGCTTGCTCTGACACACCTTACAATTGCCTGATGGGCACTTGTTCGCGTTGTGAGAAGCGGATCTCAAACAATTGATGCAAAGCTTTCGACTGCGGATTTCAGCGTTTCTCTGTGGAACGGAAAGAGTTAGGAAGTCTTTGCAATAATAAACGGAGTGTTCTCCCTTGCAATAATTGCATTTGGCCTTGACTGTCGAAGGACACGATACTTGACGTTTTGAATCTGATTGGGAGGCTTTGGCGCCCCCTTTCGCATTACTGTTGCTTGGTTTACTACTTGCTTCAAGCGCTTGATTATAATGATTGAGAAAGTAAAAAAACTGCTTAAGAGTAGGAAGATCGGAACCCGTTAGCGAAGACTGCCATTCGCGAGCTGCGTGCGAGTCGAGTTTCGAGACCAAGATAACGATTAACCCCTTGAGTGCCGATGTCTCCTACAGAAGACATAGCGAAGATTGGCCCAAAGTGTCGATGTCTTCTATAGAAGACATGAAAGATAATAAAACAAGAAATTCAACGAAGCATAAGATTTCTATAAAAGAGAGTATATAGGGGTTTTAGAGGTCACTGAACACGGATATGCGATTAATTTTTACATATTCTTATCGGCTGATTTAATATGGCGGCTGTAATATAAACAAATGTTGTAAATTTTGAATAGTTCACTTTTCGTAAATGTATATATTTAATCGTTATTAATTGCGACAACAAAAATAGTGCATGGTATTTTTTGATAATTTCTGAAGTATCCGACACGAATCCGTTGTCCGCTTTTCGAAATTCGAAAATGGCGGATCCAATATGGCGGACGAAAATGCGAATTTTTATTCTAGCGGGCTGAAATTCATTACTGAGGTGTTTTTAGGATTACAAACACGTTGTCAGATTTTTAAAATTAAAATTGGCTGATCCAATATGGCGGAAGAAAATGTGAATTTTTATACTAGAGGATTCAAATTCAGTACTCGGTGGTTTGACGGAAAAAAATTAATTCTGTAAAATTTACAAAACTTTTTGTAATCGTGGATATAGAATATTACAAACACAGTCTTGTACGAATTGCCGAATTAGTTTTGTAAAATTTATAGAACTTTCGGTAATAATTACTGAAAGTTCTGTAAAATTCACAAATTTTATTACAAAATAGGTTTTTGCAGCGCCAAGTTTTTTAGTTTACTAGCAAATTACGGAGGTAAGAAACGAGTAACAAATTAACGGATTCGTGATTAGCGACCCCAAAAACTCCTGACTACTGAATTTCAAATCGCTAGAATAAAAATTCGCATTGTCGGCCGCCATATTAGATCCGTCATTTTGAATTTTGAAAATCTGATAACGGATTCTTCATCAGCGACCCAAAAAACAGTCGTACACGATGATCTACGAAATTTCGTTGGCCGGATCCCTCTCCGCACTTTTGGCCCACTTTCTGATTTCAGCCGACATAGCGAAGGGGTTAATATGTCGTCCCACTTGTCACAAGGGCGTTTCAATGATTGAAGCGCATGTAAATGTTTAGTAGCTCCGTCCGCTACTTGTCGTAACTCTAGAAGGTTCTCCTTAGATAAAGATGGCAATTCCATTATCGCTTTAATGTGATTCTGTACAACCACGCGTTCGTTGTCATAACGATCTTTAAGGCACGTCCATGCGACTTCGTAATTAGCATCGGAGATTTCCAACGAACAAATAATGCCACTCGCTTCGCCAATAACCGATGATTTCAAATATTGTAATTTTTGAGCATCACTGAGGGTGCCATTTGAATGTATAACTGAATTGAAAATGTCACGGAACGGAAACCACTCATCATACTTGCCCGAAAAATTAGGAAGATTTAATTTCGGAAGTCGTACATGAGAAAACGATTCTGACGCCCCCCGCAAACTTGAAGGCGAAATTGTATCCGACCGGCGGACTGGAGGCGTGGAGATCGTTAGTTCTCTAATTTTTGCGGCCAATGAATAGAAAGCCTCTTCGAAGGGAGTACGATCATTGCACTCGGTTTCGTCGACGAGCTCTAACTCTGTTTGCACTGTATTGTACTCGATCCAGTGACTCTCTAATTTATTTTTTCGCTCCTCGAGTTGAGCAATTATAAAAGCAGAAGGCTGAGTTATTGAATCTACGTAAGTTTTAATGCGCGTGCAGGAGGCTTTGATAAGCCCGCGCTGCCTCTTTAGCTTGGTGAGATCTTGCACTGACATGATTGCGATGTAAATAAGCGACGGATTAAAAAAGGATGGTTCGGTAACTGCACCAAAAAACAACTTTCCTTACCTTGAGTATGTGCGCATGCGCACGCACGAAAATACGCTCGCCGCGAATTGACGCGTCGCCCGGAGATGATTCCCCTCTAGAAGCGATGCTCGTCCTTGTAGATCGTCAGCGATGCTCTCCGTAGACGGCAGCGACGTGGCGAAGGGGCGATCCACCGTAATCGTGAAGACGTCGACCCTCGGCTCAATGTCCACGGATGTCCTTGTGCAGCGTGGCTACCCTTGATGAACACGAATTGCTGTCGTGTATGATGCGACGGCCTGTGTCGTCGTCGCGTTGGAATGTGGTGCCGGAAATGTAATTTCCCAGCGTGAGCGTCGTAACGGTGTCCCGCGAAAACGAGCCGCTCTTGTCAATATGGCGGCTTCTTGTCGAGCCGCGTGTCTAGATGATTCCACACAGAGAGAACGATTTCTTTACATTGGAGATTTCTATTTATTTGACGTACATTTATTTCATTGAAACAATTTAATCTTAAATGAAACATTATTTTATTTAATATCAGTATTTTAGTTTAAATGTGTTAAAAATGTATTCATTGGCAGGAATATCACGTTTATTTAGAGCAATATTTTTAGATGAAATAACATTTTCTTTGGTTACACTAAATATTATTCCATGAAATAAAACGTTTCTTTGCATAAAACTAATATAAATTATTTTTTTGATTGAAATAAGTGTGTTTTTGAAGTAACCACTCGTTGGCATTGTTGCGTTTTGACATGCGCAGTGAGTTTTCTCGTACTTTCCGCGCTCGGCCGCCTCGGCTTCAGTTGTTTAGTGTCTATAACCGCATTATGGACATTATCGCCACATCGATAATCATCGCCAGTAATCTTTGTTTACTATATGTTTACACTTAATTAATTAAAGACAAATTTGTTTACATAAATAATTACAGACAATTTATTGTGTTTAAAAATGTATACCCACATACACATTTTCTGCTTAATTAATTAATTTTTGTTTTTAATAAGTATGTATATTTTTATATCTTGCAATACTTCATTAACTCGTAGTGGTCACACCTCTTAAAAATAACGTATTGGTCACACTGGGTCCAGTTGATTGACGCAAAAAAACAGTCGCTATTTGCCTTCTACTTGATCTATTGACTACATCAACTCAAAAATTGCCTCGGGTCAGACAGACCCAGTGTGACCACTACGGGTTAAGATACAACTGTAAGCTATTCCATTATAATACCTCTATTTTTATTCTTTTCTATATTTTTATTGTATCAGAGAATAAAATTGACGACTTAACTGTGATACAACAGTTAACAAAGGAAGAACTTAAGGAATTGATTCCCTATTTGGGTGATAGAAAAAAGATAGAAATAGCATTATCTGAAATATCGAGTACAGAAATAGTATTATCTGATGAAAAATCGAGCCAACCTTTGATATTGCCATCCGAAAAAGTGGTATGCATTAAATTCTAAATTATACTTTTGAATTGTTTTATTTTTCAAGTTTTTTCTTTAGTTATTAATTTTTTTCATATTTTTCTTTTTCCAATATAGATATTATTTATAATATAACTGTAAAAACAACTTATTATAATATTTTGTAGTTATTAAATATTTTTATTATTTTACTTATTTTAAAGAATAATTTCTTTCTAAATATTTATTTTATAATATCGTTTTCAGACACCTTCAAGTTAAATATCAAACATTACAAAAACAAAAGAGCCTGTTACAAAAAAGCCAAAAGTTTCGAGTATTTTGTCATCTGACTTAGATGTTTCATCGACATCATCATTGTCTTCTGACTTTGATGCAGCTTCAACATCGTCAATTTTTTTATTTGATGAAACATTAGAAGTTTCAAATATTAACAAAAACATAAATTCTAAGATTAATGATGTATTGAATACATATGGAGTTATCAATTTTGATTTAAGAGGTCTGTTGAGCAATCATATCATAGGAAGAGCTATTCTATTAAAGTTTGAAAAAACAAAAATAATTGATAATAAAGATCGCAATCATTTGTGTGACACCATCATATGTCAATTATTATTCCTTATTGAAAAGAAACGTTAAAATAATGCAGTAATAAGCATTTTGGCTGATAAAGTAGTTGAAATATTTCAAGGAGAAAGGAAATCTACGTATTATGTTAGTCCTATTGGAAAAAAAAGATCACGCTACAGCAAACCACAGAAGTAGCCAGAGGAAAATTAATAGATAAGCACAGAAATAAGCTTAGTGTACTACGAAAAACTTTGGCAGCTTCTGAAGTATCTACAGTCAAGGAAGACCAAGGTAAATATGATAATAATCCTTATACACTGTTGGAAATTTTTTTTATTATACAGGGTGTTCATTAAGTCGCGGACCGGTCGAATATCTTTTGAAAAAATAAAAATTTCGAAAATCGCCGAAACACGTCAAACGAGTTTTCAAAAAATCTATCTTTTGCGGGGGGTTGCAACCCCCCAACCCCAAGGAGGTGCGGGGGGCGCGAGGGGGGAATAAATTCTTAAATGGGAAGGGGGGTCGAGTGGGGGCTCGTTTGAAAGGTCTTTTCGTGACGAATTCAAAACACTATGCATAGAGGGAGCTGCGATCATTTTTCGTAAAAATATTTGAGTTTTAAGATTTTTAATACCACCGGCATTTGCGTTACCCAATGTACACCACGTGGAGGTTGCTCGGTTGGATTTAATGCATCGTGCAGCCCTGAAAAGGACTGATTTTATGTAAAACGATCATTTATTCTCTTCGGGGTGCTTGATTATAGTGAATCCCCTTGCCTCTCACTTGTGCGGTTGGTACATATGCTAGTTTATTACTTACAACCAGGGTTGAGTAAGTTAATGTTTTTTTTTAACTGAATAAAGTTAAAGTTAATGGCTTTACAAAATTAATCATGTTAAGTTAAAAGTTGAAGGAATAAAAAATTAACTTAACTTAAGTTAAGTCAATATTGAATTAATTCAAGTTGAAAAAAAAGTTTATTTCAAAAAAAATTATTTTTTAGATCAAAATGTCCAAATTTTTTTTGAAATGAGATTAAATAACTAGAATTTAGATTATTAGGTTTACTTTTTAATAAGTCTTAAGCCATAAGTAGTTGATCAATTAAATTCGAATACGAGAAGAATATTTGACTGTAATTAGGCAATTTCTTATGACTTAAGGTTTAAAACACTTATTGTAGATCCGGACTAAGGTTTATGACATAAGGCATAACCGCATAAGCCAATTAGAGGGCTGTATTAGCATCTTAAGAAATTACTTAAGATGGTCTTAAAATAGGAACAGAATATACGCTGTTAGGACGTGTGACATGACACTTTGTGTCAGTCACTGGTGACTGCACTAGCACGGAGATCCTGTGTCCTCTAAGCTCGAAGGGCGAGGGCACAAGCGAGCGTGCCAAAAATTTATATTATTTTTCTTTTCTTTTGTATATCCTTTTATATAAAATATTCAGTAATTTCAGATTTTTAAAAGAGCGATTATTAGTCACATTAGAGCGTGAGCGGTGGTTATTTTGAATCTGTGTAATGTTGCCGCCTCACTCACGGAAGGAAGAAAGAAGACGCCGCCGAGAAAGCAAGAAATCACCGAAGGAGATCCCGATTGTGTCCTCGGGGAGTGCGGTACACGCAGGTCGTATCACTTTGTAAACTTTACTAATTTTGTTGGAATTTGGTGATTGCCGCACCTTAATTGCAGACGCCTCGGAAAGAGATATGTTACGGGACCACCTCAGCACGGCCCGAACCTTGGCAGCCACCTCCACCTATGAAGAGAGCGATAGACGACCACTGCTCCAGACGGAAGGCTCGGCTGCCTAATTTGGAAAAGCGCGACAAATATTAAAGGATACGCGACCCACAGGACTTGCTGCGATTAGTCGCGAGGTCACATGGCCGCGACAAGCCAATTGGGATAAGAAGCGGCCCGATAAGAGAGGGGTTGAACGGCCTGCGTGGATCCGCAAGTGCTCCCGGTTATCACTTGTAATCGAGGTGTAAAGAGGACGCAGGATCTCCGGAGCCGTATAGTAGATAATTTCGTTGCTGTTGCCGAAAGGAGTTAGAGGCGGAGGCTCTCCCTTGGAAGATCGACGAGGGACCGTTACGTGGTGAGGCGAGCGTTATCTTATAGTTGTGTAAAACCACCGAACGCGGTAGAGGACATACGTCTCGAGCGGAGCACACGTTAGGCTTACTCCGATTTTTCGTTGCCGATATCGGATTGGTCGCCTATAGGCGTTTCGAGTCAGTGTTGCCGTGAATACGTGCCTTCCGCTCAGATGCTCTCAATTGAGAATGTATAATAGTGTAGTTGCTCGCCCTCGTTACCGCCAAGTCACTTGTGTAATTGTTAATTATTGAGAATTCTTTAAAGTCGAGACTGGCGTTATTGCGCATTAGAAAACCGTTACCGTCTAATGTAAAATCGTATGTTCTACTTGTTCACGAAGTAATTTATTGTTAACATAACAAGATCTAGATTTGATCGCATATTTCTGCTCGGCGGATTGTTGCCGAATTTACTTTCTGTAGTCGACGGCCCGTTAATAGTCGGTTTATTGTTATTGCGCCGCATACCAGAGCGCGGAAGGTCAACGCTGTAACGTACTTTATTTCGAACACTTTTGTACAGTCTCTATCAAATATATCGATTTCTCTTTATTGTTATTATTAATTCTGGTGCATTTATTTCGGCCTCTCTATCGTTCTCCGACAATTTCTCCGCTAACCGCGAACCACTCCCCTCTGCCAATTCCGTTGGCTGACCTAGTTGTTTAGTTTCGTCACGAGAATCCGCGTAATCTTAATTTCTTGTCCGAGCAGTAGATCTAACAATTTGTGCGAAGAGTAACACGCTCTCTCGTGCCTGGCGCCCAACGAATTTTTGATAGCGATTAAGATCATCGCTGAGTAAAGTAACTTGTCAACTTCT